GGCACGCATCGTTACTCTACGAAGCATTATGTATGCTCAATTACTTTGAAATTCCTTGCACTGATATCATAGCCTATACAGGCTCGTAGAGAAAACAAAACAACCACATATAAGGGACTATTTCCGGTTTCCGATTATCGCTTTCCGCAAGGTCCAGACCTTTCTATTTATGCGTTCCAGTGTTCTGAAACTGACTGATGCACCACTAAGATCCGCAATCGTTGGCTTGCAGTCTGAACCAGTAATCATTTCAGCAATCGTAGCCAAGGCTGACTTTCAGATTACTGCCTCGGATCAAACTTTGACCGATTAACTTGCATTCCATATCCCGGATATGAGAGGGTGTGGCTGCTTCATTTGAACGCAGGTAGGCTGCGTTTTTGGTGCAATATTGCCGCTTGAGGGACCTTTAATAGCACAAAACAGGATGATAGTTGTCTTAAATGAGAATATCTCAAGGGAAACGCGGCCTACGCCATGTCCAGATGAAGCACGCCACCACACCCTCCCAATGTCGGGATAGAGGGTGTATCTCCTCCGATTTTGAACCCTTTGGCTCGCATTTACTTACGTGATTGGCTATTGAAAACGATTATTCATGAAGCTGGAAGAAAATCTTCTGCGGCGGGAATCTTCAATGTTGTGAGCTGCACGTGCTCGTGCTCGTCCAATTCGGTTTGACTGATCCTGACGTCACGCTACGGCGCGGTCATTTCCCCATACAAACGCGCTCTCCTTTTCATATTCACTTCAATCAACCCGTTAATTCCGTGAATTGGATTGAATTTCGAGTTACTCATTGGTTCTTCACGGGTGGTGGGTAGAGAACGGATTAGCGCTTGACATGATACAGACACCACTGCCAATAATGACAAACGAGATTCAACGTTAGCGCCGAACCCGAACATAATGCACGTGTCAATCATGTCATTAGAATTGCAGCTCAGGAGGAAAATGGGGGAAGTGAGGTTTTTAAGGTTTCCCATATTTAGTGGCTGACGGCGCTTGGGTAGAAACTCTCTTAGAAACCCTGGCACTGCCGGAACATTCTGGCGGGTAGCACTGTTTGAAGGCAAGTTGCATAACAAATCGAGAAGGCGTACAGAGTGCATACGCCAAAGTAGGAATGTGCCCCTTAGGAGGCGCTGCGAGGCGCCTTTTTTTACCTTTTCCAGCATCTGACCAACATGCAAAATGCCGACTCAGACGCCCACTGCAACTGCCCGCCCACAAATGGTCGGACAGTCACATCGACGCTGGTACTCTTATCGCTTCATTCATGAAGTACAATTGATATGAAGCGTTGCTACATGGATATATGAATACATACGTGCAGCCGTATCTATCAGAGCGGTTGCTGGCACGATGCCAACGGGAAACTCGTCCAAATGCTCGTCCCATGCAGTGCAGAACAAAGGCTTTTCCCGAGCCTTTGACCGCTTTAATTCGCTTTTCATTTTTGTGCTATATAGCACCACTGCTGCTATTTTTGAGAACGTACCAGCTTAACGCGTTTTATGCCTGCGATAGGGGTAACATAACCACTATCTATGATAATAAATAATTACTGCCTTGTTCAAGCACTCCTTGCACAGCTCAGCCCATTCTTCGGCTGGAAAATTCTCTTCACAAGTCTGACTTACTAAGTGGTGCTATGACTGAACTTGGCAACTAAAAAGCGCTTGAAGACGCTTTCTCGCCCAAATCGCTACAATATAGGGAATTGGGGGAAAAAAGATGAGTGATTGCTGCAAATTGTTGAGGGTTGAAATGATGAAGTGAGTGTTGGGACAAAATAACCTCTCATGGGGCCTGCCGTTTATGCAACAACATCCGAAGCCACTATGAAAACGAGGGCAATTTTCTAGGACAAACTTAAGAATCCTATGGGAATCGTGAAAATTTGAGCACTTTGAGGGACGTTAAACTATAAGTATCAGAATTTTCAACTCGCGAATGGGAGCTGTTTTTCGGAAATCGGAATTCGCTGCCCGGTCAGAATTGAGCAATGATTCCAGATTTGATGACTGGTGGCTAAGACCTATTAACCTGCGATTCTCATGAAGAACGTTTAGCAAACGGTGAAGAGCGTGGCCTCTTATAGAGTCCCCATCTAGTGAAGTCCATGTAGGTTTCGCTAAGAATAGCCTAAATTTGGTGCAGTCCTCTTACTCAGAGCTTTCCATGTTCTCCCGATCTGCAACAAATAGCAATTTGGCCATAATTTCCTGGCCACGTAAGTGAACAAAGGTCAGACTGCTCCAGATAATTACACGTTGAACTACTCAGTGATGTGCAGGGCTATTTTTACGAAGGCCGACATTATAACTAGTAATGAGTAAGCGCCAGAGAGATGCTTGCCCCTGAGGATTGCTTTCCAATCCGATAATGGCCCCTCAAAACGCTCTCATAGTAAGACAACAACTTGGTTCTGAAAGGGCCAAACGAGGAATTGGAGCTATTTTCGCCCATATTTAATTCTGAGTATCAATGAATCAAGATAGTGGAGAGGAAAGCTTCTCTCTGAGAAAGCTATGGCTTCCGTTTCTGAGAAATTGTGACGCTTCATGCAAAATAGAAAAAAATTGACGCAAAACATTTAATATTGTGGTTTCTGGAATTCTTATCACGTCAGCGTACTTTTGTATTGATTTATGTAAGAGTGAGCCACGAGGACACTACATAACGGCACATTATCGCTGCTTACGGGGAGAGGACGGGGTCGCATTTCGGTTGTTAAGAAGAGTGTCATATTTAGCTGAGTGAGAATTTTTTTGCACTGGTAGTTTTTGCCATTTTAGGCCCCAATGTTTCCCTCGTGCTATGCCTTACGTTCCATTCGACAAGCGTAGCAAAGGAGGGAGGAGGGGGGGGGGGAATAAGTGGGGGGGAAGGCACGAGAGCCCTATTTCTTATTTTTTTGCCTATCAAGGTGTGGCGCTCAGTTTACATGGATGATGGTCCACTAACTCGACTGTAATCAAACCATGAATAAGCAAGAATAATTTCAAGGGATCAGCCCATCAGTAGCCTGGGAGGCTAATAGCTATTGGGCAGTCCAAAACAGAATAGATCCTGCAAACACGCAAGCGACCTACCGTATTCGTGGCCATCCAGTGAATTCCTAGAGAGGCACTATTGTTGGCATACATTAATGATTATGGCCCAACGATCAGCTATAGCGCCAAAATATAGCACCAACAAATACAGCGCCTCAATGCTATCACGTTGGCCGGGTTACCACCAATGAGACTGCTTTTTTGCAAACGTATATGATCGTTGTCAGAAACACCCAAAATCGGTATGGCCTCTTTATTGTCAGGCGGAACGAACAGGCCTCCAGGCTCGTGAGGGTTACCAGTTCCACAATTTTGACGATACTAGTTGGTTGTAGCAGTTACCTTGAATAGAAACACCAAAGAAGCCTAAAAGGCGAGACGAGGCCTGGAGAGGACAAGATGAACAACTAATCCCACAAGCATAGTACCGATGAACCCAATAACCCCTTGTCCACTGAAGCTGAATAACCCATTTCGGACTTGACCTACACCTGCTCAAAAACCTTGGTGGATTTCTCGCAACCAGGGCACGCTATACGTTGAGGGTCCCCAGCAAGGGGGTCGCATTTGGTCGGTGGAGATAGGGAGTGCTGCTCGCCCTTGGGAAAACTTTTGTGATCACTGACCTTTTCCAGCTTTCCTGATTCAAGCGCGCAATAGTTCCTTACCCTACCCCCCCCCACCTCATTCCTCCGCGCTCGACGGCAGTGTGAAGAGAACTCTGGGTAAATGGTAAAAACTTGGTTTGGAGAACCTACGAAGATTGTAGATAAGATGAGGAGATGGGGAGGAGGGAGGGAGGAGGCCGTCCAGAGAAGAAAATTTTTAGAAGCAGGGAGGGGGGGGGGCATTCGCGAATTTTTCCGCCAATGGCAAGACATGGCCTTCTTGCAGTGCTTCAAAGAAGTCCCAAACCACGCTGTAAGCAAGCTGTAACCGCGCTGTTCTTAACAAAACAGAGAAGCATCCAAGTCTTTCAAAAAAGGTTTCAAAAAAGGCTAAGCATGAAAGCAAAAGTAACCATCTACACTCTCAAAATATGAATTTCGAAGGCTTTCTGTGAATGCCAACTTTCTCGTGGGCCATTATGCTCGTGTACTAATCAAGTGGACATTTTAGTTCATGTGAATATTGCGTGAGCAATGAAATTCGAGCCAAAACCGTGCCATCGATCCTGGCACTGTTTTTTCTTTCTTCCTTTCAGCGGACTATTTCCTTATTTGGAATGATGCCATAAGCGTAGGACGATTTCATCTCCTATTCCCATATGCACTGATTGCATGTGGAAATTTGAGAACATTAACGAATTCCCGATATACTAGTAAAAAACCTTTTTCGTCGTGCATTTCAACAGATAGCAATGATTGATATGATGATTTCATTGCTGAATAATATACGTCAGTTTTAAAAATTCGAGATCATCCATGAAAAATGCCATTCCAAATATCGTCCATGAATTGAGTGACAGAGAAAAAAATCGAGACGAAAATTGGACGACGTTATTGGCAGCAACTTTGTTCCTGGAAATTTCACTGTCATCTCTGATGCACTACACGGAAAATAGATGACTAAGCTAACATCATTTGCGAGCGTTGGTCCCGTTGTGATTGCCCGGCTGGTACGGTAATAGCGTGAAGTGATTGAATATGATATCATTGGAATTCTGAACAAAGATTATTTTTGATTGTTGATTACCTTATTATTGAAATACCACCCACGTAAACCAGTTTGTGATCTAAAAGGCGGCGATTCGTTTGAAATGAACTTCATTGAGTTATGGAGAGTGTAGATCACAACTCTTTGAAAAGTTTTTCTCTGGGGTGGAGGGTTCAATAACGTGTCAAGATGCCAACTAAGACAACGGTTGAGGAAAAAAGAGAGGAAAATCATTGTGAGCGTCCCGAGTATACGCTTGTCACTCGCTTTAGTTCTGAAAAGGTGGTGCAAGCGCTACCGCTGCGCATTATTCTAAGCCGCACACCATACCCCAAGGGTAGGGTTAGCGTGGCTGCGTCCTTTATTCAAATAGCGTGGGTTGCGTTTTTTGTAGGAGCATGCCATCTGAGTCAGCTGTCTTGTGCTGAACACAGCAGATTACAAGTTTCTCGAAATGGCAATACTTCAGCAAAAGCTTAGCCACCTCATGTTTGAAGGAAGCACTGGGCACGCCCACTCTGCCTCCGGGATATGGGATGCTTTTGCTCGGAGCAGAGCAACTTAGCATCTCTTAGCAGAATGTGCCCTTGAGGATAGTTTTCTCTTGAAACCCACCATCTTGACCGCGAAGGCTGGTAGAAGTCTGTAGACAGCCAGGGATAAGAGCTCCTTCTCCCTGTTCCAGAGAAGTAGGCACTCATATCACTGAGTACAGCTATGCGCCTGCTAATGAGGACGAGTTCTGGTATTCCTCCAAAAAAACCTGCACATTCAGAAGCACGATCGGGTCCAAGGGACGGAGTAGCGGTTCCCAGTGAGCTAACTTTTTCTGTTGCGCTTGTCCATGACCAACGACCTACACAACTTCCTTCTTATGGGGTCCCGTAGTTGATTTGCAAAGGTGCGTATCCAAGAGAAAAATAAACAAAGCAAAGAAGGCTACGAAGTCCTCGCAAATATATAGGGGCTGAGCAAAATTTTTTCACGGATATCTCATGACCTGTCCATTTCCTAAAACTATGTGATCTTGCGCGGCATGCCTTCGAACGGAAGAACGACGAATAGAAGAAGAGGACTGCCTTTCTTGTCGGAAGCACTTGCGACGCCTCCTTTTTCGCTACCGTGGTATACTGCTAATAAGATATACTCCTCATCATTACGGACTGTCGGGGCGGGTCAGTGCGGCTGCGTTTTCCGCGATTTCCAAAGTCTTTCTGCACCAGTTGTTGAAGCGATCAAATGAATAAACAGCATGTATATTCTTCGTATACTCGTTTCTACCACTTTTTGATGCATACCGACTTAGAAAAGCTCAGAGAACGGATTCAAACCAGTGTGGGCATCTTCTGGCCGTACGCCCCGGAGAGTGGATTCACGCCGAGATTCACTCGGGTTCCCTTTCAAAGGTTCCCTTCCAAGGGTAAAAATAAACAAAGCAAAGAAGGCTACGAAGTCCTCGCAAATATATAGGGGCTGAGCAAAATTTTTTCACGGATATCTCATGACCTGTCCATTTCCTAAAACTATGTGATCTTGGGCGCATGCTTCAATGGGAAGACGAGGAAAGTAGAAGAGAGGACCTGCTTTTTTGTCGGAGCACTTTGGGCGCTCCTTATCGCTACCATGTTACTGTAACATAGTATGTATCAACTTGTGTTGCCGAACACAACACCTTTTTGAGAACTATACGATGTAAACTACGCAAAAGAAGACAAGTCTGCTGAGTTCACAAGTCCGTGACTTTCAGCTTTTATTGAATTCCCCCATAACCCATAGGAAAACCTATCATGGTTTTTAGGTTTCTTCACTTCCTGTGGGTATTCGTATGTCTTTGGGAAGCAAAAAGCTTATCGTTCGCTGAGAGCCACACAATGTCTCGCCTGCCCCGGGATATTGTGTGGCGCTGTAAAACTACTGGTTACAAGTTTTTTTTCTTCGCGAATGACATCATGCTAACTCGACGTTTATGAACTGATGCACACCTGGTCTCGGAATATTTGCACTGCTTTTTCCTTTAGTGCTGCATCTGCAGCTCAGCTTCAGCGGCAGAGTTGTATGAAATGAAAATATCTTTTTCAAATTTCATGAAACGTTTGGGGCATTTTGGATTCAGCAAAAATCACTGCCTGTAGGTGGAACAGAAGACCCGAAGGGCGGCGAATCAGAATCTAATAAGGGCACGTTATTCCTTGGCATGTTCGCCAGATTTACCATATGAGCTTGTTGACGAACTAGTTAGGTCTCGGTGCGAGACGCTACAACACTCACAACGCCGTTGCCGCAAGTCGGACCTCCTGGCCCGTAATTATTTTGTCTTATATAGTGGAATGACTTAAACTTCGACTTTTTAAGATCAAGGTTGCCAAGTTCTCCAAATTGTCTCCGAGGTGAGCAGGAGGCCCTATGCTCCACAATTTCAACCTGAGTAATGTTGATCTCATCTAAAAGCAAAGCCCGCGATCATTCGCCATCACAGATAGTGCGTTGGGGGTTTTATATAGACCACAAGGTGCTGAGTAACTCGATAATGAAGAAAAAAGCAGAAAAAAAAACATGCAACTGCTTGAGGTAGAACCCTATTCCGATCCCAATTTGTACGTGCCCAATTAACCCCATATCAAACGTCAGCATCTGCACAGATAGGATTTCTATGGCGGGTGACGTTTCATGCTTTTTCGTCCTGCAGCTTCGTTTTTCACGAAAGCGGGCCTTAGGGCGAGTTCAGAGGCGGAGTCACTGGAGAAAAGGAGGCGTCACTGAACCTATATTGCGCTTATAGCCCCTCCCTTACAATTTTTTGCCGCGAAACCGGTACAAGGTTGTTCGTCGCGGGCCACACTACCCTCCCGACGCCATATTTTCAACTTCTATACCTGATCGCGGATCGTGCCTTCGAGCGTACCCACGTAAAGAAGTACCATATGATCGCTTCTGAGCACGAGCAACCGATTATGTGGAACGCAGAGTAATGCAGAGTAACGGGTTTTGGCGGCAATAAATAATGTAGGTAATTTTAAGAGGTTCCGAGAGCTCATATGGGTATTTGGTCGTCAAAATAGAACCTACTCTTCCTCAGGCACACAACGGTTGTAAATAAG